CTGCAACAACACACAACCACAGTCAGCACACCTGCACCACTGTTACCTCTGCCATGAGTTCAATACAATGCACCGCATACATTTCTTTCACGGCAGCCATTCTTGACATGATCCCTTATAATAAGCTATACACGCAAACTTACAAACACACACAGGTGTGCGCTTGCGTGTGTATGAATGTATGTGTATATATACAGTACACATGAGTTCCTAACTATAAAACAACACACACATGTATGCATATATATTATAATATATATAATATATATTTTAATATATACATGGGAATATACATGTGTAAATATATATAAACATATACATACAAACAAACAAACACGTGCATGTATGTGTATGACTGAGTGTATAAGCGTGTATGTACAAGTATGTATTTATGTATGTATGTGTATATATATAAATAAATATATATGTAAATATATATATGCATGTACGTATATGTATGTATTTATGAATGTATTTATGTATGTATGTATATATGTATGTATGTATGCATATTTATATGGATGTATGTATGTGCGCATAAATATATATACAAGCATAAATACATACACATACATACAAACACACACACACACACACACACATATATATATATATATATATATATATATATATATATTTTCTCTCTCTCTCTCTCTCTCTCTCTCTCTCTCTCTCTCTCTCTCTCTCTCTCTCTCTCTCTCTCTCTCTCTCTCTCACACACACACACACACACACACACACACACACACACACACACACACACGCATGCATGTCTTCTTGTCTGACTATTCATGTATGTCTGCATACAGCCTGTCTAGCTGTATGTATGTATGTCTGCATATCTGGCTGTATGCATGTATGTCTGCCTATCTGGCTGTATGCATGTACGTCTACCTGTCTGGCTGTATGCATGTACGTCTGCCTGTCTGGCTGAATGCATGTATGTCTGTCTGTCTGGCTGTATGCATGTATGTCTATATGCACGTATGTCAATATGCACGTCTGTCTATATGCACGTCTGTCTATATGCACGTCTGTCTATATGCACGTCTGTCTATATGCACGTCTGTCTATATGCATGTCTGTCTGTCTGTATGTATGTATGTATGTACGCACGCGCGCGTGTGTGTCGTACACACGCTTGTCTGTATGTGCACGTCTGCAGATGCAAAAGCAATTCTTACCAAACAAATAATTTTCGTTATAACGCAATTTAATATGAGAAAAAAATAATCAGCAAATTCACCCAAAATAAATCGCAAATTTCCTGCTGGTCCCCTAGTACAGCTCTGTGTGAGTGCTTCCAATTCGCAGGCGAGCGCGTGGCTCACCGTGGTGACAAGCAGCGGACATCGTTTTCTACAGGTCGGTCAGCAGGCGGCCGGCCTAACCTGGTAGGAGCGTGCTGGAGTAAGTCTCCTCGCATACGCAACGGTCCTCTCGCTTCGCTGTCTGGTAGCAGATCCAGCTGACGATTCGGTCACCGGCCCGGAGGGTGGCTGCACCCCGGCGGCTCACACGACGCAGCAGCCCAAAGTGAGCAGATTAGCCGAACCCACTGCCAGGCAACGAATTCACCCGCTCCGTACAACAAGTTTAGCTCTGAGATGGCGCCAAGGAGGGGATTCGTCAGTCTTGCTTACTAGAGTGGTTTCACTTAGGAACATTCGCTGCCTCACAGTGTGCAATACAATGAAGGTTGTGGTGGAGGCAATGGAGCGAAAAGGAAATATTTTTTTTATATCCATCGGGAAGACTTGTAGATTAAGATATGCATTGGTGCAACAATGCGAAAATGGGAATAATTTATATCACCTTTGTTGAAGTATAAACATACAGTAGACGTCTATTCTTCATACGGAAAATATGTCTGGGGAGTACAATTAACGGTTACCTTTCTTTTACATAACAAAAGCATCTATGGGACTGGTAGAGTCTCCACCAACTTATTAGTGTTCAGCTCTATCCGACCTCAATCGCCGTGCTCCAACAGAGGAAGGAGCATATCACTCAACATACCCATTTCTTTAACACATACAATTTTAGACTACGAATGCATTTTCTAGCATAAAATTGGAAATCTTTATTAAGCCCCAAACCAGGGAAGAAACAAAAAGACGGAAGAACCAAACGATCCAATGTTTCCCGCTCGAGGTTTGATTCACCTTCCCAGGCCGGGAGACCGTTCTTCGCTGAGGTCTTTCAAATTATGGCTATTGATAGAAAAACTAAATGAAATTGTACCACACACACACACACAAAAAAAATCTTCGCCTGTGACCGGTTAACACGGCACAATCCCCAATTTTCTTGGATAAGAGTCCGTCGCTCCGGTCTCCTGCAAGTGTTGGGGTTTTCTCACTGGAGGCAGAGATTCGCTGAACGTGTATTCTACGGAGATGGCGCGGACGGAAGTTGGATGCTGAGGGACCAGGAGGGGGTTCTTAGACTGATGTGCGCATACGGATCCCCTTTCACACATACTCATGAATAACATGGCATTTCCCAATGTATCATTAAAATATACAGCGTCGACAGATTATCAAGTATGATATTCTCACTTGGCTACAAAGTATGGCTATTCCCTGCCAGTAGTCTTGTTATCATTTGTTTCTATTTGCATTGTATTAAGTTACGCCAAAGCCCAATAATTTTTCAAGAGATTTGTTTTGATCTCTCTCTCTCTTCCCTTATACAGCATCTGGCGGATATATCAATGGTGATTATTTCTATACTTTATCACTGTCGTTTTTCATATTAATTAGCCCAATCATGTACATTTTATCAGGATTACTCACCATACTACTGCAGTAATAACTAACCAACACTATTAAAGAAACGCTTTGTCTCCTAGCATTGTATTTTACCATCATCCTCTACAATGAATTAACAATATTCACACGATTCCATTATCACTATATTAGACAGGTTATCGGAAGTGATTTTATGGTACAATTCCTTCCTTTTCGCTACTATTGCACCAACAATTTTCGTTAATTCTAAACGAAGCGCTTTATTTACCTGTGGCCGTATAGCTGATTCAAGTTACCATGAAAAGAGTTTGCTGTGACATGCAGAAAGAGTAAAAAAAATATATATATATATATGAACGACGCGATTCAGCTGCTATATATTTTTTTCTCTCGGATAACATATCAGATCGAAACGCGTTCATTTAATTTCTCGCTTGTGGAAGATTTCGTTCTCATTTAAAAACCTCGTCAAGATACCATATCAAAGAACATCTGATAGCATTTCTGCAAAAAGAAGTGGATACTTCCCTATGCTACACACAATGTGGTTAATGAATCACTTTCCCTCCATACCTAGTCTTCCTCTGTGAATGTATACCCTCATCTCTCTCTCTCTGTGCCTCAATCATAACTTAAGCTATCAATGAATATTCGACACGTCATGTGACTACATTTGTTCCTTTCTGCGTTAAGAATTGGGCTTTTCCCTGTGCATACCAAGGGCCACATAAAGTGTGGTTACTGAAGCGCTATTCCTCGACTTCTTCTCCCAGTGCATGTTCCTCTCTAGCCCTCTCTCTGCGCTCGTCTCCTCTCGACCTCTCTCCGTGCCTGTCTCCCTGCCTCTTTTTCTTCCTCGCACTCTCTTTTCCCTCAGCAGACGCCGAACGCGTAAACGAAGATCAATAAAGTTTTACAGTCGGGGTATATTTCAACGTAGGCAAAGACCATTATCACATAGGTTATACTATTCCTGTGCATAAGTAACCACGGGTAAGGGAGAAGACAAAGCAAACTGACCCGAAGCCACATCGTAACATTTGGTGCTGGGTTGCTGGCGCGCAGCTGTAAGGTTCGGCGAAGCAACAAAGCATTGGGCCCCTGCTTCTGCTCACTCCAAACCGAGTGCGTTTGTGTGTGCGTGTGTGTGACGGTGAGGGAGAGTTGCCATCAACACCTACCCCACTAGTTATAGCGCATTGAAGTACCTCTGACTGCGATTACATCACAGCAAATAATAAAGCTCCCTGAATAACCGGCAATTTATTAAGAAGTTTTGTTCAAGTTGATTATCAGTCGTTGGTGTAATAATAATATAACAATAATAATTATTATAATACTAATAATATTAATGATAATAATAAACCGACAAGTTCTGCCGCCTGTGTTTATGCCTACTGGCTTTTAACCTGCTCATCCACCGCGTCTGTCCCGTCCCATTAACAGGATCCGCTACACTTTTCCGTCCCATCATAACTAACAGTTTAATTTCTTACATTTCAGCTGTTCTTCCTGATCCCTATTTCCCATCTCTTTGGGTTCGTTTCAGAACTCCTATAAACTGTCACATTGTTCATAATCTATTTCAAAACGTACTCTGTCCCTCTCTGACCTAACAATATAGTAGGTCCCATTACCGTGATGGAGTTCAGATGAGAAAATATGAATTTCCAGTTAAATCGAAACAAATAATTCTATCGACTCTACAGTCTGTATACTCCATCTTTTAAAAACTAACTGATGTGTCTACGAACCTCCCTCCCGCTTACTCTTTTCTGTAAAATAATTCAAGAGGTACGCTTCGTATCTTCCAGTTTGGTTTCCTTCATGGGATATCACCGCAAGGAGAGGGAGGGTGCACAGCGGTAGTGGCGGCAGGGACCGCTTGCTGGCGGTTGGCTGGCTAGTGGGTCGCCTGGTTGCCTGGCTGCCTCAGCCCGAGGCTGCTCACAATCCACCTTCATAATACTCTAACGGGGCTTATACAGTCTATAAGAGAGTTCTACGACTAGGAAACTGACAATATTCATCTTTCCCAACTTTCACAATTCTTATGTTTATCATAAGCATAATATTTATTCCTATTCAGAGACAACTCAAAAGATAGTTTTAAATACCACAACTGACTTCACTACTTCGGGGTTGTCAATACGCGACGTTGCCATATCTCAGCAGCTTCCCTTGGGAGATTGGAGTACGCGTCCAATAAAGTAAACATGGCACATGCGCATTGTCTTTGACGAGAGA